TAAATGATGAATCATCGCATGATCCGATTGAAATGCGAACTAAATTTGAGTCTAATTTTCGACGTCTTCGGCCGCGCTAACGAGCGCTGGTGCAAAGAGTTATTCGGGTCGTGGAAGAGAAACAACCGCTTTATGCTTTTGTAGATGCGCCGGCGGGAACAGGAAAGACTTTTGCATAGAAACAATTTTGGCGGGGATCAGGTCGCGTAATGGTATTGGACTCGCTGTGGCGTCGAGTGGGATAGCGGCGATTCTTTTCACCGGCGGTCGAACATTTCACTCGCGATTTCGAGCACCTTTGAAGTTTGATAACACGCGTCCCTTCAATATTCCAAAACAGAGTGAACTTGTCGAACTTATCCGCCGTGCGGACTTTGATCGTTTGGGATGAAGCTCCAATGAGCAACAAGTTCCACTTAGAAGCTCTTGACATTACACTTTGAGATGTTTGTAACAGTAACCTCCCGTTTGGAGGAAAGGTTTTGGTTCTTTCCGGGGACTTTCGACAGGTTTTGCCGGTTGTGAAACATGGGTCTCGAGCACAACAAATTGATGCCTCTATCAAAATGTCTCCTTTGTAGAAACTTTTTGAGGTTCATTGCCTGACTGAGAATATGCGGATTTTAAGCTTAGGGGATGATGCAATGGCGCGAATGTATGGCGTGTTTTTGATGCGTATTGGGAATGGTGATCATATTCGTTTTGTTCCTAACGAACCTGCCACGGTCAAACTGTCGCATGAGATTTGCACTGGTAAACCTATTCGTGATTTGATTTCTTGGACGTTTGAAGATGTTTGTGAACACGTTGGGGATGTTGACTATTTTTACGCTCGATTGATTCTCTGTGCTACTAATGACGATGCGGGGTGTGTTAACGACATGGTTCTCAACGATTTCCCTAGCGAGGTGCGTGAAAGTTATAGTGTTGATTACCCTGGTTCTGATGATCACAGACTTGAGCGCGAGTTCTTAAATTCTCTTCATGAGTCTGGTCTTCCGCCTCACAAACTGCGCTTGAAAATTGGTGCGCTTGTGATGTTGTTGCACAATTTATCGCCCAAACAAGGACTTTGTAATGACACAAGGTTGATTCTTAATAAGATCGCGACCCTCAATTACCGTCTTGATTTGCCCAAGCCGAGGGCGCTATTTTCTTATGTTTTGGGGGAGTCAAAACTCTTTTCTTTAGGCCTAGGCATCCTCGTGCAGTCCGCTATTTCGCGGACTGCGATAATGGTTTTTTCCCTAGCCTCATCGCCCCACCAGATTCCTTAAATTGAAACAAAAAGAAATGGTCAACTCCCAATTCCATCGGGATTCAATATTGGCTCCGGATATATCTAAAACATGTGTTTCTCCTCCCCCATGCAATCCGTTGTATCTCGGTTGCATGGGGCTTTGGTCTTTCTTGATTTTCTCTGCAAAATCAAAAGAACATCAAGATCCTTCGCAACCGCCATATCCCGTAATGTATTTGGTCACAGATGTATCTCCCCAAGTGACTATTTTTTACCGTTAAGACGTTTTTCTCTTTTTTTTTTTTTTTTTTTTTTTTTTAAACAAAAAAAAAAAAAAAAATATTTTTCCCCCCCCCTCCCCCCCCAAGTTTTTTTTTTTTTTCTTTAAAACTTTTTTTTTTTTTTTTTTTTTTTTTTTTTTCTTTTCTTTTCTTTTTCTTTATTTCCCTCCATTTTCGGACAGTAGGGAGATGCCAGTCCCTATTTGTGTCAGTCCCTACTGACGGCCAACTCACTCACTCCCTCTCACTCCTCTTGTTTTATTCTCTCGCATTTTTTTTTATTTTTTTTTTCTAGACCCTTCTTCTTAGTTGTGGCCCTTCCTATGCCCCAGCTGCAGTCCGTTATTTCTCGAACTGCAATTGAGGTTCCCTGATGCACATGGGAGCCTCCTTTTGCCTCCCTATCTTCCAAATTGTGACCCCCTTTGCTCCGATTTTCTCCCGGGAGCCTATTTTTCACGTGGAGCCTCTCTAGGCTTCACTTTCCTCAAGGTGGATAATCCGAGATATTTAGGATTGCTGCTATGCCTCTTCCCTTGCTTTTCTTTTATTTTCCTTTCTTTTTTGGCCCTCCGTTTGCCTCCACTAATGCTTGCACTAGTGGTGCTAATATTCTTGATCGTCTAGACCTTGATCTTGGTGGCACGTCTTGCTTCGGGCATCCTTCTCTTATGACCCTTTATAACTTTGTCTTGGGACATCACAAGTCCAAGCTACTTGTCCCGCGCTAGTCCTCGACTGTTGTCCTGCGCTAGTCCCCGACACTTGTCCCGCCGGTCCCGCCGACACTTATCCCGCCGGTGGCCCCACCGTTACTTGGCCCCATAATGCCATTATTTTTACTTAGTCCCCTATGGTCCCCGACACTTTTTCCTTGTGGTATCCCGGTTTCTCTTCGTACTTTCCTTCCCATTACTGCCTTATTTCTAGTCTCCTTTCTATGTCCCATGCGCGCCGGTCTTTCCGGCCGCGGTCTTTTTGTTGGCTCATGGCCCTTTGGTCTTTCCTATGCCGCACCCCGGTGGCTCCCCTTGGCCCCTTGCTTCTACCGGTTCTTCTCCTTCCGGGAAGAAGGGTCGCCTATATTATTCTCTTGCGGCCCTTTGCCGCTTACTATCCTACTAATTTCTTTTTGGTCCACTTGTTTTGGCGGCCCACGACATTCTCTAGCCCCCTAGGCGGCGACACTTATGCCTTAGCCTTCCATCCTTCCTATCCCTCTTGCCTCTGGTTTTCTCCGCTATGCACAATTCTGCCATATACCATCTCTTAGGGGTCAAGACTTGTCTCGAGACCCACCGGTCCCGACACCGTCCTACCTATCCTACATGCGTTCATGCAACAGGCTCACTTCGACTTTAAAGACCAATGTACATGTCGTCAACACCAATGCCGACCTCCTCGTCTCCCTCATCACCCTCTGTCCACCTACTTTTACGGCTCCTCCTGCAGACCACCATCGCCCTCCTCTGCCTTTGCAGCCTGCAGCCCGGCTATGGCCGCTAGTGCCCCGCTGCCCTGCAACGCCCTTTACCACCTAGCGCCAACACACACCCCAGCCAGCCAACGCACCTGCAGACACTTTAGCAGCATCGCAGGAGCGTGTCCGCATTGTCTGCCTAGGCCAGAACGCCCTTCCCTCGCTGACTTGCTTCCTATATGGAAGTGGTTGCTGCTGCTGGACTCCCTGGGCCTAGCCGTGGAAGTTTCCAGTAACTTCTAGTTGGGCCCCAGTGTTTGTGTTCACTTGGTGATGTGCCGGTGTCGAGTGCATCGGTCCGGCACCACACAAGGCAGCGCGGGACCCTCCCGGCCGCGTCACGCAGGAGTCGATCCGATCCTCGTCGCAAATGCACATGGAACTTCCACAAGCCGCTCCGGCCAAGTGCGCCAGCCCTACCTCTCGCGAGCCCCTACGAAAGGATAGGGTCTACGCGAGGCACGACTTACCTCCACCTTATGGGAGCTGTCACCTCCCTTTGGTGGGCATATCCCTGCCGAGCTACCAGTCCAAGTACGAAAGCTAATCATCTACAATTGCAGAGGTGGACCAGCCGAGGGCGTTTCTCGTTCGCGGTAGCATAGGGGGCATGCGCGGTAATACGCCTCTATCAGACCCGCACGCGAGCCGACATCTTGGGGGGCTGAGGTCCCAAGCGAGACTCGTCGCCGGTCGACTAGGACACGTGCACACCACTCTAAATAACATAAAAATAAAAACACGCATACATATATATATACGAAATGACACAGAACAAACAACGTGACAACACTCCTAGTCCCTTAGTAGCCATCCCATAACTCTCCGGTGCGGAAATCGGATAGGCGTTTCGCGCGAGACTTAGTATAAAACCGTGCGGACGCAGGGCTAACTCATATCGACCAGCAATGCATGAATACGCAAGCAATCGCAATGATGACGTACTATGTAGTGCTCATAATCAAGCGGTCCCTCGTGAATCCGAGTACCGCTTATGACACTCAAGTGTCAGACTCGAAGTATCGTGAAGGCTTACCCCTTCACCATATTGCACGGCTGAAGAAATAGTCGTGCAGCCTCTGTGGCACCTCCGACCTTTAGGCTGAGTGTCTCGGCAGGCAGGGCAAATAGGCTCTGCGCGGGGGGAAGATCCCTTCCATGCAGATTGTAGGACCTGGGATGTCCTGGACAAGGACCTTGAATCCAGGCCCCGGATCAAGCCTAAAGGTCGGAGGTGCCACAGAGGCTGCATGACTATTTCTTCAGTCGTGCAATATGGTGAAGGGGTAAGCCTTCACGATACTTCGAGTCTGACACTTGAGTGTCATAAGCGGTAGAAATCTTTAAGAAGCATACAACAAATAAAAGGGTTTCTTTCCTTCTAGACTCCAATAAAAACCTTAAGCATGGGTCCCCTAGGCCACACGAATACCCAATATAGGTACATACATATATATATATATATATACTAGCTAAGCGCCCTCGGTGCGGGCGGTGAGGGCAATGCCCGCAAAAAAAAAAAAAAAAAAAAAAAAATCACGCCAAAACCAACTGCTAAATTTCAGCATTGTTAACAAATTCAACAAACGGAACACACATAGATAAACACAAAAAAGGAGAAAGAAAGAGAGAGAGAGAGAGAGGGAGAGAGGAGCGAGAGAGGTAGAGAGACACAGATAGACAGAGACAGAGGAGAAAGAAAGAAAAAAAAACATCATTCAAGTCAAGAAGATCGTGCAAAATGATGAAAGCACAATAAGCACAAAGTACAATCCATCTTTATTTTATTAAAAGAAAAGAACATAATATTTATTTGCTCTCTCTCTTTCTCTCTCTCTCTCTCTCTATCTATCTATCTATCTATCTATCTATCTATTATTATTTGCTCTCTCTCTCTCTCTCTCTCTCTCTCTCTCTCTCTCTCTCTYTCTCTCTCTCTCCATCTTATGTAAGAGCAATCAACTCCCATTAGTGGAACGAAACTCTCGCAACATGTCACGAATAGAACTCTGTTGCAGCACTTTCCGGCGATAATCCTCAAAAGTTTGAAATCGACTTTGTCGTTGCCGATGGTAGTCAAGACATCCGCAGCATCAACAGACCTCCACGTGTTCATATCCGTATGCAACTCCTCAGCTGCTTGCGCGATATCTTGCAACCTGTGAGAGCTATGAAGATAGGAGAGATGCGCATGCACTTTTTTGGGACCAACGGATGCAAGAGACTCATAGACGGCAATATCAAAAGTAGAAGCTGTGACTTCTGGCAAACCTCCTGTACGGACTTGCAGTTGTGCAGCTGGTGAGACATGAGCGGGGACAACGCAAGGAGCAGGAGATGGAGTAAACATAGCGGCAGGAGAAGCAGAAACAACCGTAGAAGCAGTGACGATGAGCGTTCCCACATTGGACGGCGAAGCATAAACTGCAAGACGTTGACAATTGGCAGGAGACGGTGCCGGTAATGACATTGGACGGACAGTGGCCAAAGGAAGAGCGGAAGAAGCAACACCGAGAGAAATTCTTTTGATGAGACTTTGTATGCGAGCATATCTGAAGAAGGGCTCCGGAATAGTCCCATCCGTCGGACAATAGGGCAAATCAAATGTCATTCTTGCAATCTCGTCATTGGAGAGCGCAATGTAGTCATCGTGCAGAAGGGATTGCAACATCCAGTTGGACTCCACATCCAAAATATTCAACGGATTGAAGGGCAGAGAGGATCCTCGTTCCGAGCACATATCAGTGAGTTTAGTTCTCTGCCAATCAAGGAATTTTTCCCATATCCGTTCATCCTTCACGACCGTCGCAGTCTTCACAAACATTTTGAAAAAGATCTCATTCAAGACCTTTCGCAAACCAACCTTCTTTGCATCATCAAACCAGTGAGAAAGGTAAGCGCGCGGATGAGGAACACGTGCAACTGGCGGTGGGGGATTGCTATCATCGGGCACGTCAACAACTGTCGCACAATTTCGTGTTTGGGACAGGGCACGAGCAATTCCTTCACCTTCACCACGTTGGGACTTCAAACACGGATCACGATCATCGCTGAAAAGCACATCCATAGGGATCGTGCGAACTGCTTTCAGAACCTGAGTCGCAGTTTCAGGACTAACAACTTTGGTAGTCACCCGATGATCACGAAGGGTGGGCTCAAGGCCGTCGGACGAAGCCAAAATATTTTTTTTCACACGTCGACCGGTCGTTCTTTTGAATGTAGATTCAACACGGTCACCGGAACCATCACTGTGGTCTCTTCTTTATCATCACTTAACACACATTTATCAGCGTCACCCGATCGATCCCCCTGACAACTATCCCCTTTCGCACGACAGTCATGACGCCCCTCTTCCACAAATATATTTTCAGCATCCTCGAGCGTGTTCCCTTGAGGAGATTCATGCTCATCTTCAAATCCAGGACCAATATCCCCGGTACATGGTCCAGTTTGAAGGTTGACAGACATTTTATCGTTTCGGCTTATTTTCGAGGGTTCGAAACACTGCATCTTTCTATTGGATGTAACATTGCCATTACCATCAGTAGCAGCGCTGGTGCCTGTTACTTTCAGCCTTTTGCTATTACCACGATTGGCATACTTGTGGCACAACTGAGAACCGCCTGCAAAAAAAAAAAAAAAAAAAAAAAAAAAAAAAAAAAGTGTTCAGAGCGATTAGAATCGACGGTTGAAAGAGATACAGACGACAAAAGAGAAAAACTCATTCCAAAAGTTCGTGATAAACAATATTCTTTGTGATGAAATTCTTGTCAGACAACACAACACGAATGTTGTTGGGATGACCAACGCGCGACAAGGCAACATACAATTGGTCATGCGCAAAAACAGGTTTGCGCAACCAAACCTCGGCACGAGAGACAGTTTCTCCTTGCGACTTGTTTATGGTCGCAGCGAACGCAAGACAGATCGGGAACTGCCTCCTATTCCATTTAAACCCCGTGGTTTCACCATCACTTGTCAAATCGATTTTCGAAATCAGTGTCGTTTTACCGGTGCGCATTATGGTCACTTCCAACAAATCATCATCAACTTGGATCTCGTGACCTAGAATATTCATGACACTTGAGGCCCATGAGAAGAAGGGATTCGGGCGTCCGGGGACAAGGAAGCCCCAAATAAAAATGAGACGTCACCGGGAATGATGTCGAATACTAAATGGGTCCAAATAAAAATTGTTGAAATTTGAGACACGAGCAGGCAGGACCATCGCCGGGACTAGGAAATGGAACTGGCATGGGAGAATGAAGAGGACTTGAATAGTCCCTAGAGAACTATGAGCTAGCAAAGAGGAGTGTGGAAGCAAGCAGTGCTGTCAAGATCAAAATCTTGACGGTGAAAAATATTAGCCACTATGAGTGCAAAACTGAAACGAACCTAGGAGAGGGTGCTAGGAGGCCAAAATGAGAGAGGAAGGGTGAAGGAGAGACTACCCAGCAGTCCTAGATATCTCGMACTAGCAAGGCACTAGAAAATAGAGCCTCAATGAACTCTATGCAGAAAGTAAGCTGCCAAGTAAAAATCGGAGCACAAGGGGGCTTAAAAATGAAGAAACGGAGGCAAAAAGGAACCCCCATGAGGATGGGGGCTTCATTATTGCAATCCGAGTTGCAACGACCAATCGCTGACCATGAACCTGACCATGAATAAGGTTCTAAGGCCTAGAAAAAAGGTGCACAACATCTTGACACTTGTCACAACAGAAATACAAGAAAAATAAGAGAAAAAGGAGGGAGGATGAGACGAAAAGGGCGAAAAGGGTGAAGGAGAATGTGCCGGCCAGTTAGGACTGGCACAGTAGGGACTGGCACGTCCCTACTGTGATCTCATCCCTTTTGATTTTATGGAGGGCAATCCGGATTGCAGAGATAATGCCCTTGGGTCATTATCTTAGTAATATATGAATTTAAAAAGGCAAACATGAGTGAAAAAGCAAAAAGGGGTTGACTGTTTTTTTGTGAGTCATGGATCTGAGATCAGATCTCATGGTTGAGAGCATATGGCCGTTTTTTGTGGGGCCAACTCAAACGGTCAAATCCAGAACGAGTTGGCATCCCAAAATAGAAATAAACAAAAGAAGGAAAAACCCAAAACTGTGCACTTGGCCCAAAAAGAAGACCAGATGCACCAAAAATTGAAAAAGTGAGCATAGGGGCTCAAAATTGAAGCAAGGACCACTTAGGGGTAGCTCGAAATAATGCTGGCCTTCGATCTCTGTCAGATCTAAGGCCGAGATTGCTTCGAGATGTGAGAAAATATCTCGGCTACCCAAAATGGGGTAGGAACAACAAAAAGTGGACCTTTTTCTTTAAAGTAAGGCTGCCTCTTGGGCATTTGAACTCGAGGGGGAAACATTTGAGAAGGCAAAAGAGGCTTGAGGAGGCCAAGAGGCAGTCCGAGTTGGTACCAGCCACTCGGACTGCATGTACTTGGCCAAAATGAGGCTCAMGTGCCCCCGGAGAGGCCTARTGGTGRAATTTGGCCTTGGGGTATCTCGGTTCACTTGGAGGCATATGGGGAGGCTCATGGGCTGGTCGGTACACCAGTTTCAGCCTATATAAGCTGAGGGAGCAGTCCGCCGCACTCACATTTGCATGAGAAGTGTCCATGCTGCCCAAGTGAGCTCATAAGGGGAACCGCTGCCAGTTGGGAGACTTGAAGGAGGCTGTGTTGTCGGCTAGTAGAGGCAGCCATAGGAGCTAGTGTGAGTGACGGTGCTCCGCCATAGCCCCAGGCTGTGAGAGAGAGAGAGAGGTTTGGAGGAACCCATTTAACCCTCCTAGAGGGGAAGACTCCATAGCCTTGGTAGTTGGAGCTCGTCATAACCAGGGGGAGGCCGAGAGGGGAAGGAGGTGGGGGCTTGAGGGAGAAGAGACTCATAGCTAAGTGCGGAGGAAGGAACTTCATCAAGGTTGATCTTCAACATCAAGAGAAGAAAGGAGAGGTGAGTGGGAACAAGGAGGAGAAACTTCTTCTTCTTCCTCTTCTTCTTCTTCTTCTTCTTCTTCTTCTTCTTCTTCCTCTCCCTCTTCTTCTTCTCTCTTCTTCTTCTTCTTCTTCTTCTTCTTCTCTCCTTTTCTTCATTATTATTTCCTCTTCATCCTCTTCCTTCCTTTTCATCTTCTACTTCTTCTTCAGGGAAGAGATAGAAAGAAGTTCCTATATTAGTGGTATCTCTATGATAGTCATTTCCTTCACCCCCTGGCAAATCGCCACTTTGGGTTATGACATTCCTAGCTTGAGGAAAATATTTACTCACTCTCACCTCAAGATTTATCACCCCCCGCCACTTGGGGGAAAATCGTTACTTTGAGCTTCACTCATGGAGGCACTTGGGTGATCCTAACCTCCCAAATTGTTCATTTCTCCACCTTGTAATGATCTGATTCGATGCTGGATGCTTCCATTAGTGTTATACAGGTGTTTGAGCAAGTCTTACTCACATGCAGCTCTTCCTCTCACTTGGTATTGTATCGGCGTCTTCCTAGTTGCTCCATAGCTCACATGTGTGTATGTTGCACTCTCACTTGTGCAAGTTCAGTTTTTCCTGACTTGGTGATATGGTGGTACTCTTCGTAGTTGCTCCATGGCTCATATGTGTGTGTGTTGAAGTCTCATTGGTGCAAGTTCAGTCTTTCGCCCACTTGGTGATGTACCAGTTCCTTCCTAGTTGCTCCGCAGTTCATGTGTGTGTATGTTGTAGGTCCATTTGTCTAAGTTCAATCTTTCTTTCACTTGGTGATGTAGCGATGATTTCCTAGTTGCTCCATAGCTCATGTATGTATGTGTTGTAGTCTCATTTGTCCAAGTTCAGTCTTTCTCTCACTTGGTGATGTGCCGGTTCCTTCCTAGTTACTCTATAGCTCATGTATGTATATGTTGTAATCTCATTGGTGCACGTTCAGTCTTTCTCTCACTTGGTGATGAGCCGGTTCCTTCCTAGTTACTCCATAGTTCATGTATGTATGTGTTCTAGTCTAATTGGTGCAAGTTCGGGCCTGGGCCCTTTTCAGCTGGGCACACCCAACATTTTCCAGGCTCGAAATGTTTGCTGCATTTGCATTGGCCCACAAGGTAGATACGATAACAATGTTGCTTTCTTGCTGACCCGTGGCCACTTCGCGATGTGTTGGCCTCAAAATGTGTATGTCCAGGGCACAACCACCTGGGCTCTGGGCTCAACTGCCTGACATTATTGCTTCTTCTTAAAGAGCCCAGAGAAGGCTCAAGTTGCACTTCAACCAACTGTTGGGCAACAACTGTCTGAGACCCGCATTGGAAAATGTTGAGATAGGGATCTCTCGTGGATATTTAGGCCCGCCTTCACTTGGGGCGGGCACGAGGCTTGTTGGGGGGCGACATTCCAGAGCATATGCATGTTGCCTAGGGGCCCCTGAGGACAGAGTTCTCACATTCTATCCCCCTTAGCTTCGAAAGTCCGTTGAGATGCTTCTTTGCAGGTGCCTTCCCGTTCAACCGTCTCTCATAGTCTCCCACAATTTGAGGTGTTGTCTCAATCAATTCCTCCCTAGTGCACCATCGGTCTTCTTTTGGATCAGTATGATGCCTGAATCTGACCCTGTATTCTCTCTTGGGTTTCGGCGGTCTCCCTCTGCCTACAAGCTTAGGAACAGGCATGTTTCTGTTTTAAAACATGTCGTCGATGTCCACGTGGCCATCCATGGTTGGGGGCGGCGTAAATCTCCTGGATGAGAACTGCTGTGTCTCAACGAAAGGGTGCAAACTTTGAGGCGTGAAACATAGGGTAAGTGTGCACGTGGCCTGGGATTCGGATCACATACGAGGGACCATCCTCTTCACTATGCACAATATCCAAAACTTCCCAAGGACTGAAGTATTTAGGCATTAGTTTCCTAGAGATGTGGACTGTCATGGATGCCAAATTTCTTCCCTAACTCACTAGACTCAACCAAGACACATTCCCCTATCTGAAATGTGGACTGTCATCGATGCTTGTTCTCATAGACAATCACTGCTTCTTGAGATTTCTTGAAGTGTTCGATAGCTTGCTGCAACAACTTCTCATACTAGACACCAAATTCAAAGTTGCAGCAGATCGATTTTCAGGCAYGYGGAAGTCTAGAGMARATCTAGGCTTCCACCCCACGTGTAGCTGATTTGGACTGACAACAATGGTGTTGTGCAAAGCATTGTTGTATTGGCTGGTGGTTAGAGGTAACTTCTCATCCCAGTCAGTTGGTTGGGCTTTATGTAATGCCTCAGTAGATGCTGCACCACTCGGTTCATCAGTCCAGCTTGCCCGTTGGCTTCGAGATGATTCCCAGAAGCCACCTGGAGTTGGCTGCCCACCAGTTCTGCTTCCACATTTCATTTATGAAACAGACATCTCTATCGCTAACGATAGTCTTTGGCAGTTCAAAGTCACGCACCCAGTTATCCATGAATAACTTGACGACGTGTTGAGCCCTCGCGGTCTCTGGCATGGCAATCAGTCTAGCGAACTTAGTCAACCTATCAACTATGACGAAAATATGCCTCTTGCCACTCTTGCTGGTCACAAGGGTATCCATGAAATCCATGGAAACACTCTGTCTCAGACCAGCGAGAATGGGTAGAGGCTTGAGTAATCCAATCGGAACTCGAGTCCGCGACTTGTTCTGCTGATAGACTTGACAAGTCTGAACGTACTGTTTGGCTTTGTCCAGCATACCAGGCCACCAAAATCGTTGTACCAGATTTGCACTAGTCTTCTTATAGCCAAAACGTCCCATTGCATTATGACAATCTCCTAAACATAAACTACGTAAAATCTCACCAGCTAGAACAACTAATCTCTCAAACCCTACCTTCTCAAGAAAGAGTAACCCGTCCACCATCACAAACTCATAAGATGTGGCCTTGTCTTGGGCCTCAAGTTTGTGTATGATGTCCATCGTGACAGGATCTTCCTTGTAGGCTTCCATATTTACGCCACTTGCACCAACTTCCGCAACGAAGTGCCCCCCTCTAGGACCTCTTGCAACCCGAGACTCACAAGGGTCCCTTGCCGACCACTAATTTTGCAATTCCTCTAAGGCCTCAGACACATCCAACAAACAAAGTATCGTTGGGTCAGGATGCATCGGTGGGGTGACTAAAGAGTTGATAGCTTCGACCAACTCTTGAAGTGGGGAGGTTACATCACCCACTTCATTAGGAGTAGAAGCAACTATAACTTCTACTGGCCCGATGTGTTTCCCGAGTTGGAACTTGTAGAAGCCTCACTATGGGAAGAAGAGTTCCTAAATCCACCTTTGGGAGGTATCTTCTACGCTACCTTCACGTTCTTGCATCTAAACTGCTATTGGTCGTACTCGCTGCAGTTGATGCAAGCTCCTCGCGAATAGCGGTCCCGCCACACATCTTGTTCCAGACCGCCCTCGCCCAAGCTGGTACCTTGTTTGAGTTTTGGGTCGGCCCCTGACTCTTTTGTTCACCGCCCTTGCCGCGGCCGCCTGCCTTAACCTTTACAAGCGAGGCAAGGTTGCTACCCTCAATACGATCGTCATCCTCAAACTCTCTTTTGTCTGCTAAGTCGGAGTAATCGCCGATCTCGGTTTGATTCTCTTTGGCATCAACCATCATCAATCAACAACCTTTCTTTTTCCACTTTTATGGACTTTTCTTCTTTCTTTCGTCTGTAAGGGTTTGTTGGCCTCCTCCTAGCCTAGCCTCTAAGTCTAGGGTCTTCTTGTTGAATGAGTCCAGAGTGTGCTATTCGATGCTGGCTTGACTGACCAGCAGGTTCTTGATGTCTGTGGGAAGACATCTAAGATACATGGTCATGAAGACCTGTGGATCATAGCGCACACCGGGGACGACAATGAGATGCTCCACGACTGAGGTAAGCTCACGCGTGGACTTGTACTTCTTAGTATCAAGCCGCGTCAACGCGTCAGTGGCCTGCTGGGCCTACCGCGGTTTGTGCCATCGTGTTTTTACCAATTCCATGACGCTCTTAAGAGCATGGGTCTTAGCCCAATCATTCATGCACCTACCGAACCCTTTCGAGGCTACTAATCCATCTAGCCATCGAGTTGTTGAACCCTCCAGATACGAGGCGACAATGATCACCTCTTCCTCTACCCGTGTCCTCTTTGCCCTGACCCACACTGGCACCATTCTCAACCAAGTGTCGAGAGCCTCATCATTCTTATCACCTGAGAAGGTTGAGGGTGGTTTCAGGGAAATCTTGGGGTACCAAGGCTGTTGTTGTCCCTTTAGTGGGACCGGCTGTTGTGTAGCACCAGCCGTTGAACCAGAAGATGAAGAAGCAACAGTCTGTCTTGCTGCAGGTGCTGACGTACCGCTTGGTGAACTGTTATACTGAGACATAGTAGGACTAGTCATCACCAGAGAAGAAACTGGTGATGAAAACACTGGACGCCGAAAACTGGGCCCATGTGTTGGAGATGGGAAAGCTTTCCCATTCGTGCATTGGTGCTTAGTATCTGGTCAAGGGTATCCTGGATAACATCCAGTTCGCTGCCCATATATGCATGCATGTACAGAAGACCTGCCTTGAGAATTCTCGTGTTGTGACCAATGACAACGTCATCGAACCCTTCTACAACAGCTTTGAATGCCTTCCTATTCTCTAGTCTAGTTTTCCTAGTTCTAATCTTATTTTCTCTTTCAGTAGCTTCTCTAAGTTCCTTCTCTAACCGTAAGCGGATCAACTCCACTTGCTGGAGTTCAATGGCTTCTCGAGTACGTGGAGGTGGTGAGTTGTACTGCGAGCCCACCATCTCGCTGGAAGAATTGCTTGTGTTCACTTTGCTGGATGTGGCCTGCGAATTCTGCGGCATGCCAATGATCATCTCACCAGATGTAGCGGTTGAGGTAGCAGCAAAAGTAGCTATAGCTGTTGCAATGGTTGTTGCCGCTGCTAGCGCTTGCTCGGCTGCTGCTGCCGCTTCTCTAGCTCTCTACAAGCGTTCAGCTACTGCTTCCTGTCGCAAAGCCCTCTCTCCCTCAAGGGGTAAAGCTTGGTGCACGATTGGGATCCTAAGGGACTCCTGACGTGCCACGCTCCTTCCTACAGATCTATCCTCACCACGGCCTGATCCACTCATCAGCTAGGCAGACACTGTCTGCACTAATGCCCTCACTGAAGCCTACCCCAACATATATCTTACCAGGTTGTAAAAACAAATAAAAATAAAATAATATCTGGCAAGTCACCTGGGCTACTGTTCAAGCGGTATCATTCACATTCACACAAACTGTACATACGATCTACTCTTATCTCGATTAGTTTCACTCACAACAACTTCGATTAGAATTGGCTACAACAGAATACTACAATACTAATTTAGGTTGTATGTTGGGTGTTAGTAGTGTGTCCACCAACTAATCAAAAATAAAAATAAATCATGTGAGCAGATGTATGCACAATCGATATGGTTGTGATATACAGTTGAGCATCAATTGGAATCCCCCTTCCCCTGTATCCAACGTACCTGTCCTCATCATCAAGCAACGGTGTCTAAGGTGTGCATTAACGGCCCACCCTTGTGCCCAGGTATGCTTATGACCAATATTGCCCTTTTTTTATCCTCACGTTGTCGGGACCTCTGGTTCTCGAACATTGTCCCGGTCTGTGAGAGCCGATATATAGCGAAGTTGTGCACGACAGAGGAATCCAGAGAAAGGAGACAAGAAGGAGAGAAAAGACTAAGAACCGGGACGGGACCCCCGAGACGAATGATGTCCTGGGCTGAGTGCCGCAGGATGAAGGGACCCGGCGACGTCGAGAAAGTAAGTGACAGGACGTGGGCGTACGAGGGCATAGCATAGGACCAAAAGGGTCATTCGAGTTCGGCATGGCAAGGGCCCGAGGGGCCATGAACTGAGCAAGCAAGGCACGGCGGATGACAAGAGAATAGTGAAGTCGAGAGGTGGACAGACATGGTGGCCACGGGACACTAGAAAATAAGGGCCCCGACGCGAGGGCCACCTACGACAATTAGCGGACACCGTGGATTGAAGGCGCCACTGTCGAAGAAACCGGCGCGCGCGGGGCTCAAGAAAAGATAAGGAAAGGGGGCCACCATAGGGTGGTAGACGCCAAAAAAAACCGGGACACCATGAGGAAAGGTACCAGGGACCACATAGGGCTAAGTAAAAATAATGGTATCCGGGATAAAATATCGATGAGACCACCGACGGGACGAGTGCCGGCGGGACCACCAGCGGGATAAGTACCGGCGGGACCACCACGCGGGACAAGTGTCGAGGACTAGTGCGTGACAAGAGGCGGGGATATGAGAAGGCCTCAAGAAGGATTGTGGAGCGACATGACGGAAAAATAATTAAAAGTCAGATCTACAGTCAAGATCAAGATCTTGACAGCCAATAATATTAGCACCACTAGTGCAAGCACTAGTGGGAGCAAACGGAAAGACAAAAGGGAAAAGAAAAAGTAAAGAAGCATGAAGGGGGAGGCATGGGAGCAATCTGAAAAATCTCGGATTAACCTCCCTCAAGAAAATGGAGTCAAAAAAGACTCCATGTGAAAAATAGACTCCTTGGATAAAATCGGAATATGAGGGGTCACGGTGTGAGAGAAATAAAAGTAAAAGGAGGCTCCCATGGGCATGAGGGGGCCACAGTTGCAGTCCCAGATATAACGGACTGCACCATGGGCATAGGGAGATCGAAACTAAAAGGAAGGGCCTAGAAAAGGCCTTAACGACCTCTTGACACTTGGCATACTCAAGAAAGAAAGAAAAATAAAAGAAAAAGGTGAGAAAATAAAACAAAAGGAGTGAGAGGGGGTGAGTGAGTTGACCGTCAGCAGGGACTGCCACAAGTAGGGATTGACAGGTCCCTACTATCCAAAAAGGGAGGGAAATGAAAAGAAAAGAAAAGAGAGAAAAGAAAAAAAATGAGAAAAATGTATTAACAGTAAAAAACGGCCACATCGGGAGATACATCCGTGACCAGATACATTTTGGCATATGTCGGTTACAAAGTATCTTGATTTTCTCTTGATTTTACAAAGAAAATCAAGAAAAATCAAAACCTTATGCAACTGAGATTTAACGGATTGCATGAGGAAGGGAAAACACATGTTTTATGTGCATCCAAAGGGTAGCTCGGAATATTGTTGGCCTTGGACCCTTGCCAGATCACCAAAGGGTAGCTCGGAATATTGTTGGCCTTGGACCCTTGCCAGATCAAAGGCTGAAAAGGCACAGAGGCATGAAAAAATATATCGGTCTACCAAAGATGGGGTAGAAACTGAAAAAATCGAGAAATAGGCCCACTAGGTCGGGCCTTTTTTCCCAAGTGAGGTTGCCCTTGGGCATTTTGGTTCAAAGGGGTAGCTTCTGGAGAATGGGGTGAGGCATGAGGAGGCCCAAGAGGCATTCCGAGTTGGTACCAACCACTCGGACGACATGTACTTGGCCAAATTTTGGCCCAGGTACTCTCGGAGAGACCTACAAGTGAAAAATGGTCATGGGGGTACCTCGGTTCACCATGAGGCACATGGGGAGGTCCATGGGCTGACCAAAATACTGTGTCCAGCCTATTTAAGCCGGGGGAGCAGTCCGCCACACTCACATTTGTTTGAGGCAAGCATATGCTGCTGACATGAGCCCAAGAGAGCACCACTCTCACTTGAAGTGAGAAGCGGGGAACCCCTGCTAGTTTGGGAGCTTAGAGGAGACTTTGGGCTAGCGTGACGAGCTCTAGAGGTTGGTGGTAGTGAGGCTGGCCTAGGAAGGTAATCCGCCATAGCCCCCAGGCTGTGACGAAGAAGGAAAGGCTAGAGGAAGTCCCCTTAGATCTCCTAGAGGGGAGGACTCCATAGCAATAGTGATAGGAGTTTGTCACCATCAAGAACGGACTGAGGAGGAGGGATGAGAAGGGCTTGAGTTAGAAGGGAGCCATAGCCAAGTGAAGAAAAAACATCATCAAGATTGGTACTTCAACTCCAAGATACCAGAGGAGGTGAGTGGAAAAAAGAAAAATCATCTTCTTCTTCTTCTTTTTCATCATCTTTCTCCTCCTCTTCTTCTTCTTCTTCTTCCTCCTCTCCTCTTTCTTTCTCCCCTTCTTCTTCTCCTACTCCTCCATGATCCCTCATGTACATTCCATTTTATTCTTCTTTCTCATCTTCCCTCTCTCCATAGGTACTTTCCAAAGCTTAAAGTAGGTAGTAGGAGGCTTTTTCACAAGTAATGATCTTCCAATTGACTCATTCTTCACTCCAAAGTAAATCGTCACTTTCCATTTTGTGTTTTCATGCATGGGAGTGAGTTTCACTCATCCTCCCTTCACTTTCTCTCAATTTCTTCACTTGGTGGTAAATCGCAACTTTGGTTTGTGCTCATTCTAGTATTTTGCATGATTTTTCTCTCTTGTTTTGTCCATTCCTTCACTCCAACTCTCCATTTCTTTACTTGGTAGTAAATCGCAACTTTGGTTTGTGCTCAATCTAGTGTTTTGCATGATCTGTCTTTCTTGTTTTGTCCATTACTTCATTCCAAAGTAAATCGTCACTTTTCATTTTGTGTTTTCAAGCATGAGAGTGAGTTTCAGTCATTCTCCCTTCACTTTCTCTTCATCTCTCCACTTGGCAAATCGCAACATTGGTTTGTGCTCATTCTAGTGTTTTGCATGATCTATCTCTCTTGTTTTGTCAATTCCTTCACTCTAAAGTAAATCGTGACTTTCCATTTTGTGTTTTCATGCATGGGAGTGATATTCACTCACCCTCCCTTCACTTTCTCTCCATTTCTTCACTTGGTATTAAATCGGAATTTTGGTTTGTGCTCATTCTATTGTTTTGCATGATCTATCTCTCTTGTTTTCTCCATTCCTTCACTCCAAAGTAAATCGCAACTTTCCATTTTGTGTTTTCATGCATGCCCTTCACTTTCTCTCAATTTCTTCACTTAGTAGTAAATCGCAACTTTGATTTATGCTCATTTTGCATGATATATCTCTCTTGTTTTGTCCATTCCTTCACTCCAAAGTAAATCGTCACTTTCGATTTTGTGTTTTCATGCATGGGAGTGAGTTTCACTCACCCTTCCTTCACTCTCTCTATTTCTTCACTTGGTAGTAAATGACAACTTTGGTTTGTGCTCATTCTAGTGTTTTGCATGATATATCTCTCTTGTTTTGTCGATTCCCTTACCCCAAAGTA